GTTAATTGCGCTTGTCACGGATAATTATCCCTGAAAATAAGTAGTTCTAGAGTACGGCATTATTGATTGTACATTTTACATCGTATTGTATATAAGTGAAAATGCTACGACATGGTTGAGTATTAGATTGCATCATGATATATCTATATGTATATTACCTGCACATAATTATTGTGAATGCTTTGAAGTGCAAAGGTGAACGCAAGATACCCAGGTAAGTTTAGGTGAGTTTATGGTATTAGTTGAATCGATGAAGTTATAGCATGACTACATTTATGTGTTAGGCAACTCCGACACTGTCGTACTGGTTGCCCATGAATTGTACATGTTATATTGAGATGCATTGAAAGCTCATAAACCTGCACCTTGGTGTTAGTGCTCCCGCCCGTGGCCAGGGCACAATCCTTCACGTGATGTTCACCTCCTGCACCTTACGCTCACCTTGGATTCAAGGTAGGTGCATATGCCTGTCATACAAACCACTATAGATGGTTCCAACTCGTAGGTGACCTGCGATTATTTACCCAGTCTTCACGTGATCGTAGCACTTGAGCGTACTTATTTACACCTAGTCTTGTTGTACATACCACTAGAGATGGTTCCGACTTGTGTGCAGGGATGTTTGATGAGCTATAGATTAAGTCGTACATGTCACTATAGGTGACTCCCAACTTATATGCTAGCATTGATTGATGAGATATAGATACCTACACCTCGGTGTTAGTGCTTCCGCTTGTGGCCAGGGCACAGTTTTTCACGTGATGTTGACCTGCAGCACCTTACGCTCACCTTGGATTCAAGGTAGGTGCACAGGCCTGTCGTACAGACCACTATAGGTGGTTCCGACTCGTAGGCCACCCACGATTATTCGCCCAGTTTTCACGTGATCGTCAAGTGCACTTATTTACACCCAGTCCTGTCGTACAGACCACTAGAGGTGGTTCCAACTCGTGTGCAGGGATGATTGATGAGATATGGATAAGTCGTACAGGTCACTAGAGGTGACTCCTGACTTATATGCTAACATTGATTGATGAGATATGAGTACAGTCGTACGGATCACGTTAGGTGATTTCGGTTGATATATCATTTTATATTGATTAAGTTCATTTGGCCTACTTGTTAATGCATTGTAGAGTTTATGGACATAGCATATTCGTGGTTTTGGCCATTTTTGAGCATGAGTGGATATATATATATATATATATATATATGTAGTACTGTCCTATAGAAAACGATAAGGGATTTACAGTGAGGGGTTATTACTGTTAGAAAGGTAATAGTTTTGGGAAGCTTGGTTTTATTACTTACTCACACTTTCTGTTTTGTACCCTCCAGGTTATAATTGCTGAGTTCGTATTGACGAGGATCTATGGCTAATCTTAGTATTGGTGGCTACTTTTAAGGGTATGATTCATACCCACATTACTGTACTTTACTTATACTCTGACATTGCGTGTGAATTGGATTTGCTCTCACTCATAGCGTACTCTGGTATTTAGACATTTTTAGGTTCAAATTTATTCACATTTTATACACTATCACACTTTATGGCTTCATCACATTCCAGGTGTCGGCCAACACAGCTCGATTTGGGGTCATAGTGAACATTCCGAGTCGGCGTGTGTCACTATGTAATTTCTTGACCATGCCAACTACAATTTGAATTGATTTAAATTAAAAAGGTGAGTGATGTCAACACATTTTTTTTTCAAACGATGAAAAGAAAAAACAAATCCGCAAACAAGCAAACCATGGGCGAATATGTAGAGTGATATACAGAGATTGGGTTTTATCGGCCATTCCCCCAAAAATATAAAGTATGAATTAAAGTAAATCGAATCCCATGATAGTGGCTCGTCTTTACCATGTTACTTTTGCCTTTCGCAGGGCATCTAATTCTTACTTTCATGACTTGGAATAAAAAAAGAAGCATGGTCCATGCATACACTGCTATTTGATTGCACATGTGAATTAACGTACACTGTACCTTTAAATTAAAATGTATTAATTTTTGCAATAAGTAATGGATTGACTTGTGTTGAGAATGAATCTCATATTGATAAGAAGATGAACATTGCATTAGCTAATAAGTGGTTAAAGCTTTTCTCTTCAACACTTGCGTCTTAAATTTTCTAGGTATCAAATTGTATCCAAAATTTCTTTGATCGGTTGATCTCTCACATTTTAAATAAGGCTAGGAATATATTTGATAAAATGAAGATGCTCAACTCAACGAGAGATTTTTCAGTGTGATCAATATATAGGGTTTTTTAGTGTGATTGGTACACAAGATGATATATCCTATATTATTATACAAATAGTAGGATATGTGTTAAAAAATTAATCACTTGAAAAATAAAATTTCTTAAAACTTATATAAACACACGTGATGTACCACTCATGTTCCTTTATGAAAAATTTCACTAACTCAGCGGACCAAAACGTCTCTACCATTCTTGGTTTTGACAATTAATTATTAAAAATCCCAGATGATATGAAAGCTCGACGTATTATGCTTCCCTATATGGCTACGCTTCTATATATTGATATTACTTAACTGGCCTTTTAGCCTTTGATATATATTATACATAGACAATTATGGCAAGCAAAACAATCGCTTGCCCTAGTTGCGAGCAATGGGTTCAAATGACGGCGTACGGCGGACAGCACCGATGCGTCTGCGGTCATGTAATCGTGACTCGCAGTGCTGCTGCAGAAACACAACGAGAAACTAGTGTTCGTGGTCGTGGAGATCACAAAGGTGAGCGTCATAGCTTCCGGAGATGGCAAATTGGTAGGTGTTTTCAAACCAAGGAATCATCATCAAACAATTCTTCTAGTACTAGTAATTCAAGTCGTAATAGTTTCAAGCAATCTTATACAGGGACAGGGACGCTGATGTCGTTGCCCTCCTTCAGCTCGGAGGAGCCAGTACCCAGTGGATCACGACCAAACAAGCGTGCACTTCTTTGCGGGGTGACATACAGGCAACATAAATACAAGCTCAAAGGCACTTATAATGATGTGAAAAACACGGAAAACTTGCTGACTAAGACCTTCGGTTTTCCTGCCAACTGCATACGCGTACTTTCAGGTAATTATTAATTAATTAGCTTTTCTTTATTTGTCGATCGTAATCCTGTAACCATTCGGAAATTACATGTATAATTATTTCTCATTTAGAAAACATTGGTCTCCAATACTATGTATAAAGGTTAAAAGAGAAGCCAATCATAAAAAATGAATCGAGAAAGAAAAAGGGGGAAAAGATAAAGGACGTGGTTATTTGTGGTTACCCTGCGTTGGCATCAAACTTTCACATCGATTGGGTGAGGAAATGTAATGTAGTTTATATGCGCACACCTGATCTCTCGTAGCAAGATGTTTTTGGGTATGGAGACCCACGAACAAAACCGTTTAGGCCTTGCCCAAAGCGGATATTATCTTGTTGGAGAGTGGGCTCTGACATTATTTGTGCTTTATAAGATAATATGTTTACGTTTTCAATTTACCAATGAATGCAGAAGATGATCCGCGTGACCTAGAGCGGATTCCTACAAAGAAAAATATAGAAAATTCCTTGAAATGGCTTGTGGAGGGATGCCAGCGGGGAGACTCATTGGTTTTTTACTTCTCGGGGCATAGCTCTCGACAGCCTGATTTCAATGACGATGAGCTTGATGGGTTCGACGAGACCATTTGCCCTGTTGATTTTATGAAAGAGGGAATGATCCTTGACAATGATATTAATGAAACCATTGTTTGGCCACTCGAGAAGGGAGTCACACTTCACGCTATCGTTGATGCTTGTAATAGTGGAACGATTCTTGATCTGGAGCACGTGTATGACCGTAAACTGTGAGTATATTTACGTAGTCTTTAACTTCAAATTTATATGATTACATACGTTCAATCTATGACATCAAATTTATATATTATGAGAAGATAATACCACGTATTATAAATGTGATTAAAGTTTCACAATTCAAATATCATGGGCATCAAATCCATAGTTTAAGAGTTAATATTGTCCATGCCATAGCAGCATGCAATGTAATCTCACCATAACTCTATAAAAATTCTCCTTCAACTGTGAAAATACGTTTTCTTTTTACGTGTTAATTTGCAGGAATGCTTGGAAGGATAATACTCCTCCATCTCGTGCTAGAAAAAGTACAAGGGGTGGGTTAGCGATTTCTCTTAGTGCTTGCGAAGATGATAAAATGGCAATTGATACTACTGTAAGTGATCCCTCTATTATTGTGTTTAAGGAAAATATGATGAAAAGCCAACTTCTGAATGTTTCCAAATTGAAGCTAGATGTTAGTTGGTAAGGAGGGAAAGAAAACCTATCCCTTCTTATCTCCACAAAATGATGGGATTGGAAGGCATACGTTTTCTTTAATAAGGCCTTTCTAAACCGTTCAATAATACAATAACAACAACAAAGCCTTATCCTACTAAGTGGAGTCAGTTATTTGAATTTTAGAACGCTATTAGGCTTGGTTTTGCGCAAGTCTCCATTAACTCTAAGTACTCCACGTCTTTTCTTATAGTCTATGTCCAAGTCTTCCTCTTAACCTTTTTTCCCTGACCTTCTGTCTCATAATCGCATTTTCTAACCGGAGCATAAGTAGGTCTGCATTTAACATATACAAACCACCTTCACGGATTTTCTTTCATCTTATTTTCAGTTGTGATCCCTCATACTTTATCTTAGTATCTTCGTTCATAATCTTATCCTTTCTCGTGTGCTCACACATCTAACAAAACATTCTCATCTCCACTGCACTCATTTTTGCACGTGTTGATGTTTGACCGTTCAACATTCCTTGTCATAAAGCCTTGCTGGCCTTGGACATTCTCTAAACCGTTCAACGGGTGACCAAAAAAAATTTTCCGTCGAACCCCCCCTTTTATCGTACTTCTTAACTTTTTCTTTTTTTTTTTTTACTTCATTTTCATGTGAGCCAATATAGTATTAATTACAAATGCAGGCTTTTGCTGGAAAATCAATGAATGGTGCAATGACATACATTCTCACTGAAACTGTTCGGAACAAGACCGACATAACATATGGAGATTTGCTCGACGAGATGGTAAAGTACATTAAAAAGATTAACAGCGAAAGATGGACTAACTCAAGATTCTTGAGGACTGTACTTCGACACAAAACCATACAGGTTTGCTTTCTCTTCATGCAACATGTTAAATCAAATGGGTTCGATCTTCACTTTTTTTCTTCTTACATATATACATGTACTATATGTGACATGCATGTTGACTACAAAGCTCATTCAGTTCTTATCAAAGTTGATATACCAAACAGTTACAGCCAGGCTCCGAATCACAAGTGCACATTGTAATAACACTAGTTTTGTTTTGTCTATGCGGAAGGATGAAACTTTAGCATAAGTTCTTAAAAGATGTTGGTCCTCTCCACACAATGCCAATTGGATTGGATGCTCAAATGCATACATCTTACTTTGGTAAAAAAAAAAAAAAATGCATACATCTTACTAGTGTCAAACTAAGAAATTGGAAGTTGCTAAATTTACTTAATGTGGTTGTGTGCAGGAACCTATGTTGTCATCTTCTGAAACGTTTGATGTTAATTTGAAGAAATTTGTCTTGTAATGACATTTTTTTGGTGGAGTTCTTGTTGGGAGTTGTGTCCTAAAAGTTAATTTTGTAATATTGAATATTATGTAACAATTTCATTTTAAATAATTAATAATTGGGCAATATTAATTCATTCTTGAATTTAGGCTTTTACATTATAGGGATAATATACTATGAATGAGTTCATATGATTTAGGGTATGGAAACAATGTCCTAAATGAGGTTAGGGCAGAGAGACTTGTATTCTATAGTCACTTTGTCCTCAAACAAAGTTCATAGTTCAGTGAACCGTGACCACGCAAGAAGTCTAAATGGTATGGATGATTACCACATGTTAATAGCTACAAAGTTGTAGATATTAAGGACTCTTGTATGAATACAGCTGAGTTATCAGCTACGGAGAAGAACGGTAAACCATCTGAATGTCCTTGGGAAAAAGATGGCTCGGCATCCACCTCTGACGAGTTAGAGAAGTCTGGTAATAATCAGGATGGAGCTACTCACTGCAAGATAGATGCTTCTTCGGATGACAAATGTATTTGTGATGCAGTAGGGGATGCAATTTTGAATTGCACAAGTGCATCAGAGCAGCCCAATGTCATTGAACACAGCGCTAACAAGAATAGTGAACAAGCAATTGACTTTGGTAGCAGCATTGATCACGAACCATCTAAATCTAATGATACTTTGATAGAATCTGTATGCCAAGCTTATGAAGGAAATGAACTGCAAATCGGGATTTCTGACTCCTCAGTACCACTGGTGCAATCATCGGTCTGCTTTCCCACATCTACTACAATATTGGATAAGGTACTATCAAGCATTGCTGCCATATTTTGTTTCTTTCTGGTTTCCAGATATACTGATACACCTGAGTCGCGTTCAAAGTTTTTTCTTCAAAACTAAAACCGAAATTCTTGTTGGAGAACTGGCATTGAAAGAATATATATCATGTTTCTTTTTACCCACATCTACTGCTAGATAGGATAAGGTACTATCAAGCATGGCTGCCATATTTTGTTTCTTTCTGGTTTCCAGATACACTGATACACCTGAGTCTCATGCAAACTTTTTTCTTCAAAATTAAAACCGAAATTATTGTTGAAGAACTGACATTCAAACTTTTTCCTAGATTGCAACCCTGCCCGAAATATAGCAAATATAAGTAGTCTATAATTTTGTTTATATGGTTTTTGTTGCTTGAATTTGTTTGTAAGTTGTCAGTGTGTTGGCTATGGAACTATTAGTCTATTGTCTTTTTGTACGGTGGTCTAGTTTTATTTTGGTAAGAATCTCTTTTCCTACTAAAGGGAAGAAGCTAATGTTTACTGATCAAATAATTGTCTACTTTGTCTATCAAAATATTTGATTCAAATACTATTACTTCTTTTGTCGCATCAAATCCGTCAGATTTAATGAAATATTCCTGACGGCGTTAACTGACGCCGTCAGTGTGCCAGGCACGTGCCTGCGCGTGGGCGGCGTGTGTGGCCGTGCCTTGGCCGGCACGTGGGGTCACGTGCGGCGGTGGAAAATTTTTCTAAAAATATGGGGATGTTCCTGAGGTTGAGTAGATCACGTTGGTGTGTTCATACACCCCATTTGAGCATTGTATGAGAAGTTATTTCGTGATGTTGGTTATGTGTTTTAAAATTAACGTTTTTATAGTTGTTTCGCATATAGGTGAGACCTATCCCGAGGACGAGCGCAGTCACTCAAGGCAAGGGGGTTACGACCCTTCTACATACCAGTGAGTGGGCTTTTGGTTTTCCGTATATACCTATATACTTATGCTTTTCCCAGAAAATGAATTGAAACGTTTATACGTTTTTATGCCATGCATTATGTTTGCCGTTTGTTTATGCATTGTTAGTAGCCTATATATATATGTATGTTGGTGTTGCGGGCGCATAGGTAAGTGCCAGGTGAGTATGGTTTATGCTTATATTCAGTAGTGGTTTGAGATGCATAGAGAGCTCATAACTTGCACCCCCGGTGTTAGTGCTCCCGCCCAGAGTTGGGCACAGTCCTTCACATGATGTTCACCTCCCGCACCACACGCTCATCTTAGATCTAAAGGTGCATAGTCCTGTCGTACAGACCACTTTAGGTGGTTCTGACTCGTAGGTGACCCGCGATTAGTCACCCAGCCTTCACGTGATCATAACACTTGAGCGTACTATTTATACACCCAGTCCTGTCGTACAAACCACTCTAGGTGGTTCTGACTCGTGTGCAGGTACAGTTAGTGAGATGGAGATCTGAGCTCTAGATTCAGCTGTACAGGTCACGTTAGGTGACTCCAGCTGACAGATTCATGGCATTGATTTTGACATTTTCCTGAGCACTTGCATTTATTCGAGGCATTTGGCATGACATATTTCTGTGCATGACTTATATATATATATATATATATACATATATATATATATGTGTATATGTATATTCTACTTTTCTGGGAAGTATACAGGTTTTACGGCAAGGGGTTAGAACTTGTTTATGAATTGGTTTTTGAAAAGCTTTGTTTTTGCCCACTCACACTTTTTGTTTTGCGCCCCTCCAGGTTCTAGTTGGCTAGCACTTTTGGTGGCTTCCCAGAGGATTTTCCCTGGCATATCTGACAGATTATCACCAGTGTAGGACCACCTTTAGGTGTGTTTTTGTAGTGTTATTTCTCCCGGACTGCATTAGGTCTTCGAGCTCTGAACTTTATTTTTCACACTTACGCTTTCACATGTATGTTCTTACTTTGTGTAAAGCTGGTTTTTATTTATTCGTACTTTTATTATTATTTTATTAGCTTCCGCACTGTGCACATGGTTACGTCACTTCCACGTGACGGCCAGCATGCCCTGATCTCGATCGGGGTGTGTCAGGTATTATATAATTAAAAGGTGGAGAAATAATTACTAACTATATATCTAACCCACTAACGCTATAATTTTATTAAAAAATAAAATAAAAAAATAATTCAGTATCGAACTCATCATTCACGATATTCAAAACTAGAACTTCACATACTATTGAAGATGAATAAACTATTTTTTTTCGTTCTTTATAATAATATATAAGAGAAATTTCAATACATTTAATAAACTACTAGCCTTTTCATGCATGCGCTTACGCGCATGCAAATGCATTTTTTGAATCAGCGCATGCTATGCGTAACTTGCACGTTTTAAATGTCTTTATATGCATAAATTAATAAAAGAAAAGTCAAATATTTGAAGTAAATGAATAATTTTAAATCATGCTAGAAAAAAAACTTTAACAAACCAATTAAAGCAGCTGAATCCACATAATAAAATCGGTCTCTATTGAATTTATATTAAAAATAGAGAAAATAATATTTAATAAACAATTGACTGAATCACATTATTGCAAGCCTATTGTGAAGCTAAGCCCACCCCCTCCCCCTTAATATAGATAATATCATTTGTTAAAAAAAAACTAATAATAATCATTTGACAACTAATTTAATCACATTATTATCCGCTTGTGAAAGACCTTTTTTTATAACCGGCATTACACGGCTCTTAAGATGTTTTGAATGTGTTTAAAAATAGAGAAAATAATATTTAATGAACAACTGATTGAATCACATTATTGCTAGTGAAACATCCCACATCATCCAGGGGAGTGGATCCTGTAAGCCTTATATGTATATGCCCATCTCTTCCTAGCACGAGGCCTTTTGGGAGCTCATTAGCTTCGGGGGTGAGCTCCCAAAATGCCTCATGCTAGGAAGAGATGGGCATATACATATAAGGCTTACAAGATCCATTCCCCTGGACAATGTGGGATGTTACAGTTAGCCTATTGTGAGGTACTAATTATTAAATGGGCAGTGTTCACTACCATGGTTATGTGTAGGGGACTTCAATGAGGTTCTTAGTCAAAGTGAGCAGTTGGGAGGGAATGCACGGGGTGAAAGGCATATGGCAATATTTTGTGATGCGGTGAATCATTACAATCTGGTGGACCTAGGATTTGTAGGGAATGAGTATACTTAAGGTCAGAATAGTGAGGGAAATGCTAAGTGTTACCTTGATTGTGGTCTTGCTACACAGGAGTGGCGCAAGGCACTAGAGTATTGCATTTAAACCCCTCAAAATCTGACCATTTACCTCTAGCGGTGGAGGTTCATACGTCTATCACGGTGGGACAACGGAAGGAGAAGCGATCTTCTTTCGAGGAGATATGGTTGGTGGGTGAAGGTTGTGAGGAAGCTATCCAAGAAGGTTGGAGCTGCGTGATAGGAAAAGTGCATCTTTTCAGAGTTTGTTCCAAAGTCAAGGCGACAAGGATGGCGTTACTCAGATGGCAGCGTAGCTCCCTTGATAACACTAGGAAGGAGATCGGTGTAGTTCGTGACAAATTGGGTGTTCTTTTCGAACAACCCCATATGGATCATGTTGTAGTGAAATAAAAGAACTTAATGAAGGAACAGGATAGCCTACTCTCTAGGGAGGAAACTTATTGGAGGCAACATTCTCAGGCTACATGGTTGAGGGATGGAGACAAAAATACGAAATGGTTTCACCGGAGGTCTTCTAATAGGAAACAAAATAACCATATTAAAGGGCTGCGGGATGTGGCTGAGGTTTGGCAAGATTCTCCCTAAGGTGTTGAGGATACGGTGTTGCACTATTTTTCCAACATTTTTACTTCATAGGGGGTGTTGCCAAATGCCCTTCACTTCGTGACCGACGTGGTTGAGCCCTGTATTACTTTCGAGATGAATGAGATCCTCATGGCCTCTATCACGGCTGAGAAGGTTAGATGTGCTCTTTTCCAGACGCATCCTTCGAAATCACCTAGTCCTAATGGTATGTCATCCCTATTTTATCAAAAGTTCTGGAATATTGTAAGGGAGAATGTGGTGTACGCAGTTTGTGAGTTTTTCTCCACTAGGAAGCTTCTTAAGGAATTGTGTTTTACATATGTCGTTTTGATTCCAAAGGTTAAAGAGCCTCAGGACATGACTCAGTTATGGCCGATTAGTTTATGTAATGTTCTCTACAAGATTTGTGCGAAGATAATTGCCAATCGTTTGAAACCTTTTTTGTCTAAGTTGATTTCGCCTTTCCAGAATGCTTTCATCCCTAAACGATTAATCTCTGATAACTCTCTCGTGGCGGCGGAAGTGGGGCATTTTTTACACAATAAGAGAAGTGGGAAAGATGGTTTCCTAGCTCTTAAACTGGATCTTAGCAAAGCCTATAATTGTGTTGAGTAGCGTTTCTTGGAAGCGAAGTTGCGTCGTCTAGGCTTTGAGAAAGCATGGATTCGTCTTGTTATGGCCTGCGTCTCTTCAGTCTCATATTCATTCTTGGTTAATGGTGATGCAAAAGGGTATTTGGTATCATCTAGGGGCCTGAGACAAAGTAATCCCCTCTTTCCATATTTTTTTTTTTTACTTTGTGTTGAAGGACTATTAGCTTTCATTGCGCAGAAGGATCGGATAAGGGCGTTCCAAAGGATTCGTATTGCAGAGTCGGCCCCGTGTTTGCACCATCTTCTCTTTGCAGATGATAGTTTTATTTTTGCCCGTGCTTCACTAGAGGATTGTGCGGTTGTCCAACGCATTTTGGATGTGTATACTCAAACATCGGGTTAAGCCATAAACTTCCATAAAAGTAGCATTGCTTTCAGTGTTAATGTTGGGCTACCTTTACAAGAACAACTAGCTTCCTTCTTAGGGTACAAAGGGTGGACAGACATGATCGTTACTTGGGTCTCATGTCCTTTGTTGGGAAGAACAAGAGGCAAACATTTTTTTTTCATCAAGGAAAAGATTACTAAAAGGCTCAACAGTTAGAAAGGAAAACTCTTAAGTAGTGCGGGGAGAGAACTTCTTGTTAAAGTTATCACTTAAGCTCTTCCAGCTTATGCTATGCAAACTTTTCTGCTTACGAATACTTTTTGTGAAGAACTCCAGCAATTAATGGCCAAGTTTTGGTGGAGTGGCAATATTGACGCTCGCAAAATTCATTGGATATCATGGAATAAAATGTGTAAGCCGAAGTCTGAAGAGGGGGGTTAGGTTTTTGGGATCTCTATGCTTTCCATCTTGCACTACTATTTAAGCAAGGGTTGTGCTTAGTGCAGCAGTCAGACTCCCTTGCCGCGCAACTATTAAGAGCTAAATATTTCCAAAATTGTTCCTTTTGGGAAGCAGTGGAGCACCCTACACTTCGTATTGTTGGAAGAGCATTTTGAAGTCCTATTTTGTTTTGGAGGATGGTACATGGTGGGCCATTGGCAATTGGGCCTCAGTGTCAGTTTGGTGGGATCGATGGATTCCTCGTCCGTGGACATTTAAGATCTTTACACCACCACCTTCGTCTATGGATGATTTGATGGTGACTGAGTTGATTTTACAAGAAGACAGAGCTTGGAGTTTTGAACTTCTA